TTGCATCCTGAAATGCAGTCCTCTTCATCAGACCCATCCTTGCAGTCAAGTTCTCCATCACACACATGTTTGTATTGGACACACTCAGAGCCATCCTTGCACAGTTGAGAGCCCAGGCCACACTTCAAAGAATTGCTTCCAGCTGAAACAACTGTTTGGATCACAAAATGTCACACACCAGTAAAGGACAAATTATAGCAGATAATACATCTCTTTTGTAAAACTTTTGTAGATGGTGAGAAATTAGTTTTGGTAGACCTGTCTCACCTTGCAAAGGCCCTGACAATTGTAATAAGACGGCACACAGAAGCAAACATCCACCCATTGCCACAGACTGAATAAACCGGAGCAACTGCCCGAAAGAGCTTCGGCATAGCATTTTATAAGGCTACCAGGTGATGCCAATATAACCTAATTGAACACCTGAGTGAGGGGAGGAGCTAATGATTATTGTCCGATGATCCTGTGCAGCTGTTGGGGTAATCATATCATACATAAACGGAAGTAAAAACATTAAATCTCACACTGGACCTGACTGTGACATTCTTTAATTCATTTTTTTATGTTTTGAGAAAATGCTGAATACAAATAGCTTTTGCCTCCTAACCTTAGATGTAAAAAAACAGATATAAACTTTGTCAAATAAAAAATAAAGATATCCAAGAACATCAACCAGTGTCAAAAACATGTTTGTTTTTTTTACATCTTCCAATCAGTTTTTTGAGAAGGCGGGATTACGAGCTCGTACGTAACCATCATTTTGTTGTTTTGTTCCGGTCTACCTAACCTGACAAACTAGCAACAGTAGCACTGGTAGCAACTTGAGAGGAGCCCTCAAGCCTTGTCAAAATTAGCTGCGGTACAATACAGTTCAGGCATTTTTATGTCAACAAGGCGTTTAGAGGGCTGTGCACATCTTTCTTTGAAAAAGCGGAGCGTTGGACTTTAAAACTGGGGTAACTATTGAAATGCTTTTAGCTGTTTTTATCGACTTTGAAGCATGTTGTTTTGTGTAAGAGATGCAGGTCCGTTAGCCAGCGGGAGCCAGGACTCAGTTTGGAAGAGTTCGTCCAAGATGCTAACTCATTTTGGTGCCGTGTCTGTATTTTAATAAAAGTCACAAACACTCAATAGCTAAGTCGAAATACAACATTACAGTGCTTGAATTCTTGAAGCGATATTTTGTGTATTTAGATCAATGATAGCCGGGACAAGCCGACGTTAGGTAGCAAAGTAGCGCGACTTGACTGTTGCGCATAGGATGATTTTTTGTGGATCACAACAAAAGGATTTTTGATAACAAGCTGGCAGCTAGCTCAGTTAAGCTAGCTAACGTTAGCCGACCTAGCTAGAGGAGGACATCTCCTTAAACTGCCTCCGGTCTGCTTAGGTACGTCAACTGTAGGTTTTAGCTTTGTGATTTTAGCTAACGATGAGACCATTAAGCCTTTTGCTATTTAACACTCTGCAAGCTAACGCTGGTGAAGTTATTGTTGTGATTTGAGTCAAGCAGCCCCCCCCCCCCTCCCTCCAGAGAGCTAGCAGCCGGCCTTCCCAAAGCCAGTTAGTGTTAGCACTGTGGGGGCCTGTCACAAAACACTCTCCGTGTTCATGTTCAATTGATGGTGTTCACTGTGTTATCCAACGTGTTCTTCAACGTTAGACGCTAGTCGTGATTGCTTCCAGGCACGGACTCACACGCCGTGTGTTAACTTTATAAGTTTGCATGCTAAGCTAACTAGCTTGGATGTCGAGCAATGTTTGTGACAAGCTAACGTCAAAGGAGCAGCTCTGCTTGTTCAACTCACCAAATGCTTAACTTCACACAAGAGGCAGTCGTGTAATGTTTGCGATGCTGTTGACAAAACGATCTTACCATTTAATTTAATATTCGAAGTTTCATTGAGGAGTAAGTTAAGTTGCATGCTTAATACTGTTTTGATGAGGCTGCATGTTGTTGTTTTTCTGTACTTTATTCTGTTTGTAATGATGTACTTTGTGTGTGACTTTCTCCCAAGGTTGTCCCTCTCTTTTGAATAAACCCTGCTAGCACTGGCGTCCACCCTGTGACTCATTGGTCACTAGAGGGGCCACATCAGAGCAAGGGCCCAAACTGTAGCTCCAGGTCCCCTCTGTGTGTGTGTGTGTGTGTGTGTGTGTGTGTGTGTGTGGGTGGGAGAGCTTGTGTTGAGTCCTCTGGAGACTCGCGGCTTGTCCGGCTAAGATGTCCTCCATCTTGCCATTCACCCCACCCGTGGTGAAGAGGCTGTTGGGCTGGAAGAAGTCGACAAGTGGCCCAGGTGGAGCCGGCGGTGGAGAACATAATGGGCAAGAGGAGAAGTGGTGCGAGAAGGCTGTGAAGAGCTTAGTGAAGAAGCTAAAGAAGACAGGCCAGCTAGATGAGCTGGAGAAAGCTATCACCACACAGAACTGCAACACCAAGTGTGTCACCATCCCCAGGTACACTGCCCAACACTTGCTCTTCAAACTAGAATCAGGAGTGCTGATGTTGCACGTCTCTGCAAGTGTACTTAGTTTGAGACCTCTGCGTAATATAAAACCATGCAATCTTGGGCTGGTGGCAGACACCGATCTTGCACTTCTCTTGTCTTAATGCTGTTTTCATAATTTCCTGTGATTATTACCAAACATGTGAAGCTCATTGCAATGTTAAACAGTTTGTTTTGGGATGCAAAATAGTGGAACATGAATTGCTCTTTAAAGATGAGCTGATAATACATCAAATCCCTGTTTATTTACTACTGTACATGCAGTCAGATTGTTTGTATTATGCTCATGGGGAGAGAGACATTTAAAGGGTGAGAGAGGTTGTTCTCTTTATCAGCCAGCCGGCCTTGATGGCCCAGACTCGGTGGGAACACCACGTTAACAGATTCATTCCGCACTAATGTGCCGTCAAGTACCGTGTCAGATGTTTGTATGTCTATAGATAGTGGCCTGGTTGTTATCGCCTGAGAATTGTTCTAGGCCGCACTATTATGTTTGTAGAGATACAGTGGCTGGCTCGATCTGAATGAAATTATTTCTTGTGGAGGGCTGGACTAGTAGAGAGGATAGCTACACAAGAGAGGGTTACAAGCACAAAATAATGCCAGATTGAGGCTTTGCCACCAGCCATACTTTTGTTGGTACATTTTGATTGTGATTGAGGATTTTGTCTACCCTGCTTGTCACTTTGACATTATCCGTTCAAGATTTAGACTGATTCTACTCTAAGCATTTAGTTTTCTGCAGTTGAATTGGCTGGTAGACAAAAGTTGGTTTCTTGCCCTGTCATGAATCAGACAATTGCAATTTTGAATGTTGGTTGAGATCCCACCAAAGTAATTAAGTCTAGTAAATATTGTGCATTTGTAGCATTTCATATGCAGAATTATTTATTATTCAGAAGCAACTACTCCCCATTTGTCCTCATGCCAAGTTTTTATTTTAAGTTTTTGTTAATTTTCTTGTGAATGTTTTGAGAAGGTCTGAAAATAGATTTTTTTTTTTCCTTCCAAGGTTGCCTCCTCCCTTTTCCCCCTCTTTTGTGCTATTGTGTGTCTTAGTGTTTGTTTGAATGTCTCCAGATGAGCTCTGACACAAACGACTGGAGTGAAAAGGTTTTCAGTCATTTTAAGCGTTTGATGCAATGCCGCAGTTGAAGAATGCTCTTTGTCTCACTCATTGTGTGTTAGCAGATTCTATGTCATTGTTTTTCCTTAATTCTCTCAAAAAAAGGCTTCTCTTATTTGAAATTCCCATCTTTCATTTCCACTGCTGAAAATGAATTTGATGTCTTTATTTTTGCCATGAGACTCTTGAGGCCAAGAGGCCTTTTAATGTTTACATTACCCATACTGATATTTCTGAATGAGCCATGTCCCATGTTCATCATTTGTTTTGTTGTTTTCTCTGTGCACAGCAATTGCTCTGAAATATGGGGACTGAGTACACCAAATACGATAGAACAATGGGATACATCAGGCCTATACAGCTACCCTGACCAAACCAGGTGACTATCATCAACTATTGTATGGCGTTGCGTACAACTTTGTTGTGGGAGAGTTGTCATTACAATGTTTGAGGTGACGGACATTGAGAACATCTTTTGTTTCTCGTCTCCACTCAATCCAATCCATCTCCATTTCCCTCCCCTACCTTGCCATATTATGTGCCACCCCCCTCTCCCCCATCTTACCTCCATTTCCTGTTTGCTGTTCAACTTAGATCCCTGGATGGCCGCCTGCAGGTCTCCCACAGGAAGGGGCTTCCCCATGTTATCTACTGTCGCTTGTGGCGATGGCCGGACCTTCACAGCCACCACGAGCTGCGTGCCATTGAGGCCTGTGAGTACGCCTTCCATCTAAAGAAGGATGAGGTCTGCATCAACCCCTACCACTACCAGAGGGTGGAGACCCCAGGTGAGTCGACTTGGTTCAGTGGACATTTGTTACCTAAAACATGCACCTTTCTTCGTATTGCAGCGTCTATTGCATTATTGTTGCAGTATTGTTTGCTCCCACTGAGACTTGTATAGCTAAACTGAATCGGTCATCGTCTATGCAGAATAACTTCTTAGTAGCCAAAGTGTTGGTCTGGTTGTATGAGGAGTAATTTGACATTTTGAGGAATACAATCATAGAATTTCTTCCAAAGAGTTCAATGAGAAGATCAACAGCATTCTCTTGTCTGTATGCTAAATGTGAAGCTACAGCCAGCTGCCAGGTAGCTTAGCATAAAGACTGGAAACAGCTAGCCCGTCTCTGTCCAAGTCTACCAGTTAATGCATTGTATCTAGTTTGTATAATATTTAGGGAAGAACAGTCAATTTGTGGACTGTAGCCTTATACAGTATTGAACAAATGTTAATCTTTGCATCTAACTCTAAGCAAGAAAGCAAAGAAGTGTTCCCCCTAAAACACAAACTAGTCATTTTAAGAGTTTCAGGGATGGCCAATATTAAAATCTGCAGGGAATCTGCCTTCACTCTGCCTTACTAACAAGCTATTAATCAGTTTAAGGTTTCACTAGTGTTTTATTATTGCTGTTCCAAAGTTTTTGGTTTTTTTGGGGGGGGTTTTTTTTCCCCCACAACAATGAAACTTCAAAGTACTTGATTCTTTTGATGCATTTAGTCCAAAACCAACTGACAATTATTTTTGAAAAGCATATGGCTGATAAGTGTCTAACTCATCTCTTCTGACACTTTTGCCCAACACTGTAGTGCTGCCTCCTGTTCTTGTGCCAAGACACTCAGAAATCCTGCCAGAGCTGCCACCTCTGGACGACTACACTCATTCCATACCTGAGAACACAAACTTCCCTGCAGGAATCGAACCGCCAAACAACTATATACCAG